ATTTTTGAGGAAGAGATCATGCCCGCGACAGCCGTAACACGTTACTAACGTCTGCAGCATCCGTAATCACTACACCGCAACCGCAACCGCATCCGTAACAAAATCCGTAATCGTAATTTGATACTATGGATAGAAGAGGAGAAGAAACCCTAAGAATGTAATTTGAAACGCTGTCATTTTTCTAACCATTGTACCAAAAAAACATAATATGCATTGATGTATAACGTAGCATAAAAAAAAAAATATAGGACAAATTATCTCATATCATTAAATTATTGGTTTAATTAATCTATTAAATTGAAAATTTTGTCAATTAAATCATTAAATTTTTAATTTAATTTTAATCAATCTACCATTGTTAATTATTAACAGAATTGTTCACATGACTAAGGATGGCAAACGGGCGGGTCGGGTGCGAATACCCCATCCCCATCCCCATACCCACCTAATATTTTTGAACCACCACCGCCCACCACCCTGATGGGTACAAATTTCAAATCCACACCCGCCCACGCGGGTATATTCTCAAATCCATCCCCACACCCACTACCCACTAGCGACGTACCCGTCTAGACCCGCCTGACAACAAACTTAAGTTATACATAAGCAACAAACATAAAAAAACATGTCCATTAAGAAACATAATAAAATAATCCAAGGATTATATGAGTTAAGTGTTAATATAGATCTTAAAGTATATAAACACACCATAATAAAAGTCATAATTAAAGTCTAGAAACATAAATGACAAACACATAATGTTTTTGTTCTTTGGTACAACATGTTATATCTTATATAATATTAGAATTTATAAATTTGTCTCTAAAATTACACCTAAATTCATAATGGTCCAAAATTTATTGGATATTTAACTGGGCGGTCGGTGCGGGGCTGGTAATGTCTCAAACCCATTACCCGCCCACCACCCGCGACGGGTACCACTTCTAAATCCACACCCGCCCACTACCCGCTAAAATTATACCCATCCCCGCCCCAATTGGAGCGGATGCGGTGCGGAATCCACGAAACTGTACCCGTTTGCCATCCCTACACATGACACTTAAATTAATTTAAATATTGACATATTTATTACCCATCAATATTTATACATTCCATTAATTTACTTATAATTTTATTTAAAATTTACACCTTAGCCGCTAAACTAAGTATTATATTTGATTTTTAGTTAACAAATTTTATATATGATAAATTTTACCTTAGTGGTAAAAATTAAGGAAAAATGATGTGTGACAGTTAAACCTAAAACCTAAAAGAGAATATGCACATTTTTAATAGTTTAGGATGAACACTTTAATATTTGTTTAGAGTTTTAATATATTGACAACGTATACGCAACTAGCAGATGTCGTTGTTGAACTCAGAAATTGTAAGGATATCAACCTTCCTTTTTATCATTGAGACGGTAAAATTTAAATTTATACACAATTATAGATGATAATTTGACATGGGCCCTATAAGTTATTTTAAACATTAAAAAAGGTCAAGTTGGATTCGGGTTAAGTTTTGTGAAGTACGAGGTTATATTAGGTTTGATTTAAGTTTGTGGTAAAAAAATATTTGACTCAATTGTCTCCATATAATAATATATTTTTCAGAAATAATTGTTATAATTTTTCTCTATATATTTTTAATTAAATCTTTTTTATTGAATAAAATATAAAATATATTTAAATTAAATTGATATAAATTTTTATCCTAAAATTTAAATTTAAAATTTAATTAAATAAAAAGTAATCAAGTCGAATTTAAATCCTTATTTCAGATTTTGGCCTGATCTGGGTAAATTCAATGTAAATTTAATTATGAAGGTAATGATATGTTGAAAATATATAAATATATAACCCCTCTCAGCCCCTTGCATGTAAATCATATATATTCGTATTTATAAACGTGACAATCACGCAAAAGGCCAACCCACCAACGCTCATGGCCCACCCACTATCTCTTTCCTTCCTCAAATTTACCTTTTGATTATCAAATTATTAAATATTTTTTATAATTAAAAATACTATTTTTAAAAAAATAAATAAATTCAAAAGTACTTAGTAGTCATTTCAAATTATTCAAAAATAAAAATATATAAAACTAATCCCAAAAATGTAAACTCAATTTAAATTAAACGCTATATGTTATTAATATAAATTTAATTGATATAACTGAATCAAACGATCTTAATGATAAATGAATTGTTATCATTCATTGATGTCTCGAGTTCTAGCGCTAAATATACTTAGGTGGCGTTTGGTTCGCTGGAATGTTTATGTGGGAATTGAAATCTGTGAAGGAATTGAAATCTGTCAAGAATTGGAATCCAATTTCATATTCTATTTTATTGGCGGGAAATGGAGTTGGAATCCAATTCCATATTCTGTTTGGTTCGCAGACATGTCAGATGAATTTGATTACATTAATGTAAAATGACAGCATTGTCATTCTTGTTTTTTTACTTTATTTTAGTTTGTTTTATAACTTCATGTAATAATATATTATAAAAATTAAAAAAATATTAAATTTCATTTGATTGATTATTCTTCAATAATTATAAAAATCATGCTAATAAACATTATAAGTTAAATCATCACAATCAAAAATGTTAATAAGTTACCAAAAGATAGAGCAATATTCGATACATTCTAATCGAAGCATGTTAATTATTACAAAAAAATATACCAAAAACTATTTTATTCAATATAAATTAGAAACCGACACGACACAAAATAATATAAAAAAATTATTCATAAAACATTGACTTAATTGAAAAAAATTATATATAGGGGTATTATTGTAATTATTCCTAAATATATAAGGTAAATTATATATTTTTTTGGGTCGATCCGGTTTTTTTCACCCTAACCCGAACCCGACCCGACCCGAATATCACACTTAAAAACCCGACCCGATCCGACCGAATATCACACTTAAAAAACCCGACCCGAATATATGAATTAGAAATCCGACAAGACCCGAAATAATAAAAAATTATTTTTATTAAATAAAAATAGTGACTTAATTGAAAATATATATATATATAGGGGTATTATTATAATTATTCCTAAATATATAAGGTAAAATTATATATATTTTCGGGTCGGCTATTTTTCACCTTAAACCTGAACTCGACCTGACCCGAATATCACACTTAAAAAAACCGACCCGACTCGACCAAATAAAGTTTCACCCGACCCGAATATATGAATTAGAAACCCGACCCGAAATAAAAAAATATTTTTATTCAATATAATAGTTACCAAAGATTGATGAAGGTAGTATGGTCAAATTTCAATTCCCTCCACAAGAGAATTGAATTCCATCCATTTTTGGATGAATTCACTTTCCCTAATTTGATGGAAAGTTGAAGCCACGAGGTGACGTTTGGTTCGCTGGAATGTTTATGAGGGAATTGGAATCTGTGAAAGAATTGAAATCCGTCAAGAATTGGAATCCAATTTAATGTGTTTGGTTGGCAGAAATTGAATTGAAAATCCAATTCCATATTCTATTGGTTCGCAGACATGTTAGATGAATTTGATTTCAGTAATAAAATGAAATGATTGTCCTTCTTTTTTTTTTTTTGCTTAATTTTAGTTTGTTTTATAAATTACATGTAGCAAATATTATAAAAAATTTTAAAAAAAAATTTAATTTTATTGATTGATTATTCATTTTATAAATTATAAAAATCATGCTAATAAATATAATAAGTTAAATCATCCCAATAGGGATGGCCATGAGTCGAGTTGGGTCGGGTTTTTGGTCCCGACCCGACCCGAGAACAAGGGAAACTCCATCCGAGACCCGAACCGACCAAAATAAAGTTTCACCCGACCGACCCGAATATATGAATTAGAAACCCGACCGACCCGAAATAATAAAAAAATTATTTTTATTCAATAAAAACAATGACTTGAAAAAAAATATATATATATAGAGGGGTATTATTGTAACTATTCATAAATATATAATGTAAAATTATATATATTTTCGGGTCGGGTATATTTCACACTAAACCCGAACTCAACCCAACCCGACCCGAATATCACACTTAAAAAAACCAACCTAACCAAAAATAAAGTTTCACCGACCCGAATATATGAATTAGAAACCCGACTGACCCGAAATAATAAAAAAATATTTTTATTCAATAAAAGAAGTGACTTAATTGAAAAAATTATATATAGAGTGGTATTATTGTAATTATTCCTAAATATATAAGGTAAAATTATATATATTTTCGGGTTGGGTATTTTTCACCCTAAACCCGAACTCGACCCGACCCGAATATCACACTTAAAAAAACGGACCCGACCCGACCAAAATAAAGTTTCACCCGACCCGACCTGAATATATGAATTAGAAACCCTACCCGACCCAAATAATAAAAAATTTTTATTCATATATATAAGTTACCAAAAGATTGATGAAGGTAGTATGATTAAATTTCAATTCCTCCAACAAGAGAATTAAATTCCATCATAGAATGGATGAAATTCACTTTCCCTCATTTGATGGAAAGTTGAAGCCATGAGGGATTCAAATTCTCTTGGAAAACTTGAACCAAACATGGGAAAGTGGTGGAATTGGATTCCAATTCCCCCTAATTCCAAGAGATTCATGCGAACCAAACGCCGTCTGAGGGATTCCAATTCCCTTGGAAAACTTGAATCAAACATGGGAAATTGATGAAATTGGATTTCAATTCCCCCAAATTCTAAGAGATTCCATCCAACCAAACGCCACCTTAAGATATTTTATCTTTTAACAAATATTATCTTGTATTTATCTCATATTAATAATTTTTTTAATATATATATATATATATATATATATAATAGTAAATTATATTTATATTTATATAAATTTTAATTAATTGATTTAAATTTGAAATAAATTAAAATTAATGTTAGTGGTTTTTACTTTCATATATTAATATGGTGTAAATAGTAATCCATACCAATTTCCAACAAGACCAGAACCATTAACCATAGCCATAAAAAAACCATAGCAATCATTACCAAAACAAAACCCTCCTTTCCTTTCCATGGCGGAAACGAGCAACAGCAGCAGCTTCAACAGTGGATCATCGCCCTTGCTACCTTAGCTCCTGACCATCTCTTTACCATCTTGCTTTTACTTCCCATCGATTCCATCCTATCCTTCGCCATGACTTGCAAGAAACTCAGCTATTTGGCCACTTCCGATCATCTCTGGGAATCCCTTTGCAGGAGAGATTGGGGAAATACTTCTGTCGATGCTCTGAAATCTTCCTTTCATGCCCATCAACAACCGCTTCCCTGGATTAGGATTTACAAGAAGGTCTCCCTGGTTGACACTGTCTGTTGTTACAAACTCACTGAACCAGATTCCGATTTGCTTTTGCCCACTCCTCGTGCTTCTCACTCTCTCAATTTTGTCTCCGGTTGCTTGGTTTTGTTCGGTGGCGGCTGTGAAGGAGGTCAGTCAACGTATACCTCATCCTCTCTATGCTCAACGGAATATCGTTGTGTGTTTGATGTATGGATGCTAATTTTTTTCTAAATTATGATAAGGAATTTGATATTTTGAAAATACCATAGATTTTTTTTTTAAAGAAAATATCCGTATAAAACACATATATGCGTCCGAAACTCAAACTGAGTTCGAGTAGCTTACATATAGTTTATATCATAACTTTTTGAACTTTTTTCTACAATTAGGGCGCCATCTTGACGACACATTGGCAGCTTACATCGGCAACAATTCGCACAAGATACTAAAATGGCAGAAGATTCAAACAGGAATCCCGAGTGGAAGATTTGGCCATACATGTGTTGTCATTGAAAATTATCTTGTTTTGTTCGGAGGAATCAATGACAGAGGCGACCGACACAGTGATACATGGTTGGGACAAGTTTCAATCCTTGAAAACCTCGACATCTCACTGTCATGGCGGCTGCTCGATGTCGGCTCGACGTCTCCTCCACCGCGAGGAGCCCATGCTGCATGTTGTATAAGCTCTAGGAGGATGGTGGTCCATGGCGGAATCGGTTTGAATGGTGTCAGGTTAGATGATACATGGATTATAGAACTGTCCGAAAATCATCGTTTTGGAACATGGCATCAGATGGTTAGCCATCCGTCGCCTCCAGCCCGTTCAGGACATTCGTTGACATGCATTAGTGAAACGCAGACAATTCTGTTTGGTGGAAGAGGATTGGGATATGAAGTTCTGAATGATATGGGTGTTGCATGTGTCTGAAGGTAACTCGAAATGGGTTCAAGTATTTTATGACTTGCAGAACGTACCGGCGGGAGTTTCACTCCCAAGAGTCGGACATTCGGCTACATGGATAGTAGGTGGACAGTTACTAATTCATGGAGGAGAAGATTCATTGAGGCATAGAAAAGATGATTTCTGGGTGTTGGATATCAGTCGCATATCATTAGAAAGAATGCATCCAACAGGATTGAGTTCCAAAAGACTGTTGGTGAACAAGTGGAGAAGACTTAAAGCCCTAGGTTATACCCCAGGGTGCCGATCGTTTCATAGAGCCTGCGTTGATGATTCAGGTCGAAACTTGTATGTGTTCGGCGGAATGGTGGACGGATTGCTTCAGCCTGCTGAACCAGCTGGACTTAGGTTTGATGGTGAGCTATTTCTGGTGGAGTTGGCCCTTCAGTTATGAAAAGGAAAAACAATGAGATGATAATGTTTAACCAGAAAGAAGAGATTAGAGGCTTAGGAATGTATGTTTGCATGCATGTGTCTCATGGATAAGCTGAGCCAGAGCAAAGTACGCATTCATGTGTCTCTTGGATAAGCTGAGCCTAGTATGTATGCAAGCATGTGTCTCATGGATATGCTAAGCAAAGTATGTATGCATGCATGTGTCTCATGGATAAGCTGAGCAAAGTATGTAGCAAATATAATACCAGTCCCACGACTTGGACTATAGTATGGGTCAAGATTTGAATATAGATGGATCCAACTCAAATTTATATTCAATAAAACCAAAGAAATCTTATATATATATATATATATATAACAAGTGTAACCCCACACTTTTGACCAATACAAATTTAGATAATTCTAAAATCAATTTGCGGATTCGAATAAATTGGATCTGTAAATTGTTAGGAGCTAATGATGAATTGGAGGGGTTTCCAAATTTGAATCCGAATAAATCTCATTACAAATGCCAACTTTTCCATATGAATAAAACATGGCTTCTATGTCTCTTTTCCTATTTTACATAATTGCAGTCTCTAGCATTCAGCACATAGAATTCCCTCTTCACATCAAACCAACCCCACATAACAAAAGCTCCCGAGCCCTATTTACTCGAGTGTGAGCACCGGATATAAATGTATATCCTATGTGGATACGTTTTTAATGTATTGGGAAGGACCTTGAAAGGTCATATTCCGTACTCACGTCTGGATATATGTCGGATAAGAAGGCAATCACCTACCCCATCCTAAATCATCGCGGTATCATCTCTCGTGCGCCATAGCTGCCGCCATTTCCATAGAAATAAACAAAGAATAACTGTTTTAACGATGTTACCTTAACAAGGCGCATGCTACCAAATTGGGATAACATCGGTCTTTGATGTATCTTACATCTCACTATAATACCCTCAAGACTGGCAGGGAAGATGCACTTTGCACAATGGCATCCTGAAGTTATTGGCTCGGATGGGGGGACAATCATGAGCACGCTGTCGTTTCTGAACAACTCCCATTACACTAACTGTGCTTCCTTCTTTGATATACCTACAAATACAAGAACATGTAACTTTTGAAGTCGAAATACTTTAGTTTTCCCGAAACCAACTTATTCTAAAATGAAACGAGAAAGATGATTGCCATGGTTGACCTGATTTAGATAAATAATGAGTAGATGCAACACGCAAAAGTTTAGAGAGAACCACTTACCTTTCTCGTATCCGCATTACATGGCCATCACTCGAAGTGTTCCTTTCTCCGAGCCATCTAATGAAATCCAGAGGTAATGTTTCTTGGGCAGGGTTAACATCAATGACAGAGTCATCCACGTAAGGAGTCACCCTTGCTCCAAAGCCCGTTTTTACCAATGCTCTCAAACCCGACTGGAAATCGGAGATGTAGAAGTCAACCGCATGCCTCTATCAAAATGATTTACACCAAAAGTTTACCTTCAAATGTCTAAAATCTCAAAGCTCCGAAAGGGGGGGGGGGAACATCCCCAAACTATTTCGCTTTTCTTAAATTATCATATCTTATCAAAATAGACCTCAACTGCTTCAACACGAGGGCATGCCTTCTTCATATAGATAGAAAGCCATTCAGTAAACAGAAAAGTATTTATCAAATTGATAGATGAAACTCTGACAACTTACTTCTGACAATCGGAGCCCCCCACATAAACCGGCGATGTTTAGGATTGGCAGCTTTAGAATCCCATCCACGATACTCGTATAAACTAGTTGATGTATAAACACATCTAGGAACTTTCTGGAAGGATGATTCGAGAGGCATGTTTCCACATGTTACAACCTTCAAGAAAAACAACCAAACATTGAGATAAGCCTTACCAAAATTGCAGTTTCAAACATCCATCATTCAAGTTGCACAAATCCAGATTTTGATCGAACCGGCTCCATCTGATGATCAACAAACACCAGATGCTATGTTATTGTTAGGCTGCCAAATTAAAATATTAACTCACATACCCCAGAGATCTTCACGAATTGCCCGTTTTTCGCATTTCGGAGCTCAACATCAGATATGAGCAATGAAACCCATAATTGCTCTTCTTCCCCAACATGAGTTCCAAGCAATAATGCAGCAACAGTACCGAAAAGGATCACCACGACTATGAGGAGAATGGCATTGTGAACAGCTCCGAGACTGAAGCCACCGGAAATGAAACCCATCATGAATAGCAGTACCAATGACCATAAGACTTGTTTTGGGAAGTTCCCCTTGAAAGAAAACTCATCATCAGTGTGGTTATTGATGTCCACAGCAGAGCTAGGTACTTTCATTGATCCGGTTGAATCCAAAGGACCAGACACTTTTCTAGGAGCCCCGGATGAATTCAGTGGGCCAGATGAGATAGGCCCAGATGTAATGAGACCAGTTGCAGGAAGAACAGAAATAGGACCAGAATGTTGGCTTCCACTCAATGTTAGTCCACCAGATTGGGGGCCGGACATTCTCTTTACTGGATCCCCATGTCTATTCAGTGGTCCGGAATTCGACTTCTTTAACGAAGCTAAACCGGACATGCCTCCTGTAGGTCCAGGACCAGAGGTCGTATAGCCAGCCCGAGGTGCTGCAGTAGGCATGACAAAGTGTGAAGCAGCACTCCGAAATATCCAGTCCTTGAAGGGGAACCACTTATAGGTCCAGATTTCTGGGACTTAGAGCCATCCACAGGGATGTCAAACATTTTCCCCAACTCTCCCGACTTTTTAATATCACCACCAATATAAGGCATTGCTACTGAGCTAATGGTTGGGGTTTTTTCCTTAGGCTGCTCTGGCCTGCCATATACGTAAAGGCCATTGCTGATCTGATGAGATAGGAATCTCAAACCCATCGAGCTTCCTACGTACAATGCAGAAGATATTAGGCGAGAGAGATTTCCAGTAGCCCGTTGATAAGTAGGTCAAGATCCCCTGACAAAAGAAAATAAAAAGGCACCTCAATTATCAGATGAATAGTTTAATTCTAATTATTAGACACATTCCGGGGTGATAGAAGAACACGAAGCACAGGATACGGACCTAACTGACCGGGTACTTACAGAAACACATATAGCAGCAGTCAGAGCACATATTTGGATTGCTCTTCTTTGTGATTAATACTATTCTAATGAAATTCAATATCATCCGCAGTTTCCATTGGAGCTAAAGCATGAATGCAGATTCAAACGTAAAATCAAATTTCAGTCAGATCTGTCAAATTCAGTGACAAGAAAACAATGAGAAAAGGTAAAATTGAGACCAAATTGATCATCCAGTGTACTGAAATCAACATATAAAAATCAAATTCCTCGGTAATAGTTTGTGCAAAGAAAAATCATATGACACAATCGGGAGTATTTGCAGTAAATGTAACGCAGAGCACTTCCATGCTAACATTCACCCTCAATTTCCCAAAATAATCGCTGAAAACAAACTAAAGTACTTGAACAATATCTTCTACTACTTAAAACTTTATAAAGTTCTATGATGTTCAACAACTAAGCTGACGAGATTCGTTTCGGTTGACTGGAGATTACATGGTTCGCATATTCTCATAAAAAACCTATTTACGCATGCTTGCTTCCATAAACAAGACATCCCACATCTATGCTACTAGGATATGGGCATGGTCATGTTTCGTCAGTTTTTTTTTTCATGTATTCGGAGCATCCTTAGAGGTCATATTCCATACCTATCTGTCAGGTACAGTCAGAGCATTTAATCACATACTACTACCCAGAATTCATCTACACAAGCATTTAGAACACAAGGGAAGATCTAAATCCATGAGAAGAGAAACAGAAATTGTCAGTCCATTTCACTAACGTATCATTGAAAAATTGATTATCCTCTTGAATTTTTAACCAAGTCAAACAACTCACACAGATTATAGAATCAGAAAAAAAAATCGAAGAGAGAAATTTCCAATTAATCACCCAAATGGAACAACTAAGCAAACCCAGATCATAAATTGAAACCAAAATCAATGAAAAGCAAGTAAATTTAGTAAGATAGGTTAAAAAGAAAAGATCTACGTAAACAAGTAGATATTTTCAAGCTTAAACAGTCAAGGTAAATATTAAAAATGACTTATTGTCACCAAAGAATCAAATTGAGAGCTCAAATCAGAAACAAAAACAAGTAAATTCCTGTTTTCTTGTACTGAAACTAGGCTAAAAATAAAATATCAATATAAACAAGTAGATATTTTCAAGCTTAAACAGTAAAACTAGGAAAAAACACTCAACTGCAGTTTTGTTCCTTCAACAAATTTAAATACAAGGGGAACGGGAAAAGGAAGAACAGTACCCAGAAGCAAAAACAAAGAGAAATTGAACCGTAAATCACAAAATGAAACACACCCAGATCTTAATTTTGAAAGAAAAATATAGGAAAATGGGAAAGATGGAAGATCTGATGAAAAAGAACAAGTTTTAAAGAGTGTCAAAGGAAAGATAGGAAAGAGATGCCTGAAGAAGGAGAGTAAAATGTAGCTGAAGTAGTTGCGTAAATCAAGAGATTTACAGACATTATACGAGGAAAACAAAGATCAAGCATTAACAAATCAATAAATATTACAAAAATAACTCTCTCAGTTTATGTTTTGGTTTTAGCTGCTCATTTTTAAGGGTAAAGTATAGTAATGGTCACTGAACTTTTCTAAAGCTTTCATTTAGGTCCCCCAACTTTTAAAACTTGCAATACAGTCCCTCAATATTTAGTCTGTTTGCAATATGGTCCCCCAACAGTTATGTCAGGGACTATATTGAAAAAGGACTAAATGTTGAGGGACCATATTGCAAACGGACTAAATGTTGGGGGATTATATTGCAAGTTTTAAAAGTTGGGAGACCTAAATGAAAGCTTTAAAAAGTTTAGTGACCATTACTATACTTTACCCTAATATATAATTTACATAAAGATATAAATTCTTAATTTAAAATTCAAACACTACCTTTTTCTTTAATTTTGTTTGTGTAAAATGAATAAAAGGGCCACTTTCTGTAGATTTTCTTCGAGTGTTTATTTGACTATAAATACAAGCATATATGGTGGTGCAAAGTACCATCCACCACGATCCAAATTCCAGGTGCCAATCTCCAGTCTTCTTTGTTGTCTTTGATTCCTTGTGTACTTCTCTCCTAGTTTTAGCTAATGGAAGAAGTATTTAAGAGCCTACAGGGCATGACTTATATCTCCGACCCAAATGCCAGTGACTCCATCACTAACTATACAAAGAAGAGCGCCGCCGCCTCAACAGATACCGCTGTTCCCATCGCCTTCACAGCGGCGAACAAGAGGTCTTTCAAAGGAAATGGTGGCTCCGGTGGAACAATGAGGTACCGTGGTGTTCGCTGCAGGCCGTGGGGGCGTTATCTGCTGAGATACGAGACCCCCAGTCCAAGGAACGGCGTTGGCTCGGGACTTTTGACACCGCCGAGGAGGCTGCATGCGCCTACGACTGTGCAGCTCGAGCTATGCGTGGGATCAAGGCTCGAACCAATTTCGTCTACCCGGCGACGGAGCCTCACTCGGCGAGCGATCATTTCCTTCCACCTTTTACCTTCTCGAAGCAGTCACAGTCATCCAGCAGGGACATTAACTGCATCCGTCATCAGTTTGGCCAATCTTCTAACTGGTCATCGCTGGCAAACCAACATTCCGGTGACTTCTCCGTTGGGTCTTCTGCTCAAAGAAACGCTTCTCCGAACATGGTTTTATTCCGCAACCTTTTGAATTCATCTAATTCATCTCTCCACGCGCCTCCTCCTCAGTCTCTGGCGGACTATATTCCATTAATCCACGGAAATGCTTCCTCTTCTTCGTTTTCTTTCACTTTTAGCTAATTCAAGCATTTTGCCCTGTGCATCTTTGTTGAAATCCTTTACAACAACATTACTCGAAGCGCAACCGATAGCGTATCCGATTCTTTCACTGGCACAACCATGACGCACACTCCCAAGGAAACCGTCGATGATATGGAATTCTTCCCGCAGAAGCCTTCAGATTCCGGCTTGTTCCAGGAAATAATTCAAGGGTTCATACCGAAGAAATCAGGTGAACTTAAAGTTACCACGAACTGCACTCAACATTCAATAGCTGTTCCTGTAATCGAGTTGAAGAATGAACATTTAGGTTTTTATAATGCCGATTACAATCAAGGATTCCCTCAATAGGTGGAGAGTTTCAGTGGAGTCACTGGCTCAGAATCGGTGCCCTATGCTAATGAAGTACCAACGAAATACCTGCAGGTAGGTCAAGACTTCTTGTTAGATGATATCTTTCAGTACCCAGATTTCATGGGTGCCTTAGCAGCTAGGGTTCAAAATGCTTGAGCACATCAATATGTTTAGGGTTTCAAGCTTTTCGTTACTTAGATGGGAGATTAAAATCATCATGTTTTTATGTTGTAATCTTTATTACATGTAATGGTAATTCCTTGACGAAATCGAAATCTTGTAGGAATGTTATTTATTTTTTCTGAGTTTACGTACAGTATTCAAATTACTTGTTCATTTAAGCATGGGAAATGATAAAAAGGGTAAATTATAGTAATAGTCACTGCATTTTCTAAATCTTTCATTTAGGTCCCCTAACTTTTAAAACTTACAATATAATCACCCAATATTTAGTCCGTTTGCAATATGGTCCCTCAACATTTAGTCCATTTGCAATATGGTCCCTGACATAACTGTTGGGGACCATATTACAAACGGAATAAATATTGGGAGACTGTATTACAAGTTTTAAAAGTTAGGGGACCAAATTGAAAGATTTAGAAAAGTTCAGTGACCATTACTATACTTTACCCTTTTTTAAGGTCATTTCAGGTTTCTTTTTCCTGTGTTTTAAGTTAGTAAAATTGTATGGCGTTCGACTAACATTAGTAACCATAATTATCATTAATTTAATTTATAAATATTTAAATTTTAAAATAATGAATGTATAATTTTAAAAAAAATAAATTATACTACTGATTACTTAATTAGTGTCCATAGTTCCTTTTCATTTTGATTAATATTTTTTTATTAATCAGGTTACTCAACTATTTAAATGCATTCAATTAAGTCACTTGCCATTAATATTTAACAGAGAATCTGATGTGATAGTTAAAATATTTGGTATAATGAAACATTGATCATTGTTACTTATATATTTGATAATTTTGGTCTTATTTTTAATAAATTAAATAAACTTAACCCTCGAATATTTAATTTTAAAAGATTTTAAAAGTTACGATATATTTTATATTTATAACAAAACAAAATTTTTACTAAAAATCCATTTATGGTTATTAGAAACATCCAACCAATGGTACCATAATTTATTTTGGTTTTAAGGAAAATTGAGTTGATTAACCAATGCATATAAAGTTCACTGGACCAAACTTTTATCCTACTACTATTTGTAAATGACATTCTACTAGAAAAAGGTAATATAGTCTAACTTGTAAAACTAAAAAACAATTATTTAGTAAATTTATAATAGAAAAATGTGACATATATTTCTTTCACGTTTGACAATCTTCCTTTAAAATTTTAAAAATTCATTTCCTACCATAAAATTTTATGTTCATCTTTAATAAAAGTTTATACTGTTAAGATTCTCGGTGGACTTAGCATGAAAAATTTTGCACTAAGAGATTGACCTATATCAAAAGGGCGATAAATTTAGTTTGCTTTAAATTTAATATCATAAATTATTGCTTGAGTTATTCAATTTTTTAGAGAAAAGGTTTTGTTATAAATTTTGTTTTGTTATAAATATAGAATATGTAGTAACTTTTAAAATTAAAAAGTTGAATTTTGGGTCATTATATATGGTACCATTTGATTTGAGGGTTAAGTTTATTTTAATTATTAAAATTAGGACTAAATTGATAGAATATATAAGTAACAATGACCAAATGTATAATTATACCAAATATTTTAATTGTCACATCAACTTCTCCGTTAAATATTAACAACTTAGAAAGTTGAGTGACCTGATTGACAAAATTTTAAAAATATTGGTTAAAATAAAAAGGGACAATAGTTAGGTGGTCACTAGTATAGTTTACCCTTTATTTTAAATAATTTATCTTTAAATTTTTAACTAATTTATAATTATGCGTTGAATCCTTTAGAATTTACTTTTTTATAAATTAAATTAATGGTGCTCGTCGTTAGTGGTGCTCATCCCTACTTGTCGAGTGCAGAAGAATCATCCTTTAGTTAAAATTGTAAATATATCTAAATTTTGTTAGTAATATATCTAAATTTAAACTACACATTTAATATTTAAATTATTAGTTTTAATTTATTTTAATATCTAATTTTTTTTAACTTTTATAAAATCGTATTTAATGTTTAGATTTTTTTCATTTTAATACATTTGTGAAAAATTTAACGTGAAGTTTTAAAAAAAATAGTAAACTATGCCAATAGTCCCCTTTATTTTCGGTCTGACTGACTTTGGTCACTGATTTTTTTAATTAAGTTCATTTGGCCCCTTACGTTATCGATCCGTTCGACCGTTAATTTTTGTTAACCCTTAACAGAAGTGTTACGTGACAATCAATTTTTTTTTTAAAAAAATTCCACATCAATTCTTCTTCTGTAATCCTGAAACTTCGTTGTTAGAAACTTTTTTTATATCATTGATGGGGTCCGATGAATCTTAAACCAAAGCAAAAAATATTCATGTACATTTATATGTGTTATGTAATAAAACACTAATAAAGACCGCAAAGAAGGTACTAGCCGAAAAGCGTATACCAGTTACGGCTGGAATATCAGTTACGAACTTGAAGAGCTTGATTTGATAAGAAAATAAGGGTTACTAAATTAATGTAATACCGCTAAAGAGAGAGGGAGAGTACTAACCAAAAAGCGTGTACAAGTTGAGGCTGGAATATCAATTACTAGGGATGGCAAAAAAATCCGAACCCGACGGGAAAAATTGAAAACCGAATTAAACGGGTCGGGTTCGGAGATGATAAACGGGGACGGGAACGGAGAAAAATCGTTTATGCTAAACGGGAATGGGAACGAGTTTGGTAATCCTCGCCCCGATTACCCGATTACCTGGCCCGATAAATATTAAAAATAATTATATATATATATATATATATATATATATATTTAATAAATTTAATTTAATTTAAATTAATATATATATATAATATTTATATATTTAATTTAAATATATATACCCGGCCCGATACCCGTTCAAATAATTGTTTATGCTAAACGAGGATACCCGTTTCCCCGCAGTTTTCCCCGATTACCCGATAGGAATCCCCGTTTAAATCCCCACGATTTTTTAAGAGGGGATGGGTATGAGTTTTTTAAACAGTGACGGGGACGGGGGGACCAATACTCGGCCCGTTGCCATCCCTATCAATTACTTTAATTCCACATATTTTTTCATCGAGTAATCTACCCAAACTATAATAAAGTGAGCTTTCTTGGTCAATCTGTCTACAATTGCCCATATCGAGTCCTTTTTACCTGGTGACAAAGGTAGCCCCAAAACAAAATCCATGGTACCTCGTTCCCACTTCCACTCGAGAATGGACATCGGTTGTAGCAATTCAGAAGGCACTTGATGGTCAGCTTTCACTTGCTGACATGCCAAACATTTTGCAACAAACTCCGATACAACTCTTTTCATGCCAGACCACTAAAAACGACTCTTCATATCTTGATACATTTTATTCCTACCTGGATGCATAGTCAAAGGACTATATATGCCTCGAAAATAATATCTTTCTTTAATTATTCACTATTGGGAATGCAAAGTCTTCCACGATAATATAAACATCCATCGACCTTCATTTTGAAGTCTTTGACCTCTTCTTTTTCTACTTGCACCATTCTCGCCAAACATTTCTCATCTCGTCCTTGCAGCTCTTTTACCTGATCCAAAAGCATCAGCTTTAACTTAAGTTCAGCAATCAAGGCTCCATATTCCTTTAAAGACATACTCACATCCAAATCCCATAGAGCTTCAAAAGTCTTTCGACTAAGTGCATCAACTACCACATTAGTTTTTCCTGGATGATAATCGATGATCAAATCATAATCTTTTAAAAGCTCTATCCATCTTCTCTGTCTCAAATTCAGTTTTTTTCTGAGTCATCAAGTACTTTAGACTCTTAAGATCCATATAAATATGACACCACTCACCGTACAGATAATGACGCCAAATTTTCAAAGCAAATACGACCACTGCCAATTCCAAGTCATGTGTTGGGTAATTTCTCTCGTGATTCTTCAGTTGTCTTGAGGCGTACGCCACAAATTTTCCATCTTGCATAAGCACACATCCCAATTTATTGTGAGATGCATCACTAAAGACTACATAGTCTTTGCCCGACTCAAGTTGTACGAGCACTCGAGCCTCTGTTACGATTCTCTTTAACATTTCAAAACTTTCTTGGCATTTCTCTTACTAAACAAAAGGCACATCTTTTTGTAACAACTTAGTTAGCAGCAAAGCTAACATTGAAAAGTTCTTCACGAACCGTCTATAATAACCAACAAGCCCCAAGAAACTCTGAACTTTAGAAACATTATTTGGGGTTGCCAATCCACTATAGCTTGAATCTTTTTGGGATTTACTCTTATGCCTTCTGCGGAGACTATATGACCAAGGAAAGAAATCTCAGCTAACCAAAATTCGCACTTGGACAATTTGGCATACATATTCTTCTCTCAAAGTGTCTGAAGAACCACACGAAGATGAGCATTATGTTCCTCTCTTGACGTCTGGATCTACTTCTTTCTCTGCTTCTATTAGTAGCTACTACAGATCTCTCAGATTGAGCTGAATTGTCACCGGATTTCTTAGGATAAATTCGGAC